AGGCGGTGCCCCACGCCGCTGCCCCCGAGCCTGGGGGAAGGGGAAGCAGCTTGGCGGGGTGGAGCGGACGGCCGGCCAGTGAAGGATTCCGCCCCCCTCCACCCCCCGGCCTGGCAGTCCCGAAGACCACACAGCGTGGCCTCGGCGGGCTCGCGGGCTGGAGCGGGGTTCTCCCTCGGGACAGCGTGGAGGCCTGTGAGGCGGTGGCGGCTCAGACTGCTGCCGTCCTGGAGCCTGTGGCATTTGCCTTCCTCAATTCTTGGAAACGGTTTTCTTTCTCATTCCGTTCTGCTTTTGTGGCTAATTTTGTACTTGTAGGTTTGCAGTCTCTTGGGAAAAAAGCCCCCAGATGCATACACCCTGTGGGCCAGCGCCACAAAAGAGCACAAGAGCCGTCTGCTGCCGGGGTGCGGCCCCGGGCTTGCCCGACAGGGCAGTGTGGCCTCTACCTGCACAGGCCTTGTCCTCCCTGGAGCACCGCGCCTACACGGAGGCCACCATCCACACTCCCGTGCCCTCCTGGTCCCTGCTGGGCATGTGAGCGCTGCGGAACTGAGCCCAGCCGGGGAGCCGGGGTCTGAGGAAGGCCACAGCTGCTGGCCAGGCACTGGGCGCAAGGAGGTGCTGCTCCATGGTGGTTTCACCTATTGGTTGGCGATGGCCCAGGGCTGGGAGCAGGGCAGAGGCCAGGCTGTGCTTCCCACCCCTGCCCCTGCCCCTGCCCCTGGGCGGAGGTGGGGGGGGGGGGTTCTGTCCTGGAAGACAGCCTCCAGGAGGCCCCTGGCCGGGATCTTGCTCTTTCCTTCCTAGGCTACTGGCCTGAGAGCATCATCAGCACTAGGTCAGCAGAGGCAGGACAGCCCCCTCCTGGGGAGGGCAAACCAAGGAGGGGAGCCTGGGTCCACAGTGGCCCCGAGCAGCTGCTGGGCACCCAGTCCGTGACCTGTGCCCTGTTGCACCCTTGTTCTGGGGGTGCCTCTCTGCCTGCATCCCGGGATCCACCTGCCTCAGGGCCAGGGGTGGGGCAAGGCCAGGGCCTGGCCGGGTTCTACAGCCAGCACCGGCCTGCCCGAAGCCCAGGCCTCACAGTGAGGACCAGGTTGAAAGTGAGCTCCCCGCCCTGTGGCTCTGCAGTGGGGGCCCACCCGGTGGGATGGGCAAGGCTCCCGGGAGTCTGGTTGGCATGTGTGCGCATGTGCGTGCACGTGTATGTGGCTGTTGGACGAGGCACATAGAGGGTGATTTCCCGGGGGTGGCTTAGGGTTTGCTTGTGTGTTATTGGACTGCCGTTCGTGTCCCCCAAATCCACATGCTGGGACCTGACTTCAGGTGTGCTGGTGTGAGGAGGGGCCCCTGGGATGTGTCCTCGTGGTGGGCTCGGGCCCCGGTCAGAGGAGGTGGGACAGTTTGCTTCCTGGCTGCCCTGTGCCGCGCAGGCACACAGTGAACCGGAGAGGCTCGCGGGGACTCCCTGGCTCCAGCGCTGGCGAGGAGCTTGTCCGAGCCTCCTGCGTGGTGGGGCGCTGTGCCGGCGGCTGGAGGCTGCTGAGACACAGCGTCCCCTCCGGCACCCGCCCCTCCCGTGGGCCTCCCCACTCGCACCTGGTCCCCGCCATCCGAGTTTCAGAAGCCACCTGCTGCGGGAGCTTGGTGCTCCCAGCCCTGGGTTCAGCCCCAGGTCATCCTTGCAGACAGACCTGGCGGCCCGTTTTGAGGGGCTCTGATGATGGGGAAGGGTCCCACTGAGACCGTACCCACTGCCACCGTACCCACTGCCCCCCCCCAGCCATGGGGCTTGTGCCCTTGCCACAGGCCAGCCCAGGGTGGGGGGCGATGACGGTCAGGGAGGGCACTTCAGCCCCAGAGAAAGGTATTCCTGGGACACTCTAGATCCCGGAGTCGGCCCCCGCCTCTGTGCCTGCTGTCAGTGGTAGCCGGTTACAAGCAGTTTCTTTTTCCTTAAAGAAGCTTAAAGCAGGGGCGCCTGGGTGGCTCCGTGGGTTAAAGCCTCTGCCTTCGGCTCAGGTCATGATCCCGGGGTCCTGGGATCAAGTCCCGCATCGGGCTCTCCGCTCAGTGGGGAGCCTGCTTCCTCCTCTCTCTCTGCCTACTTGTGATCTCTGTCTGTCAAATAAATAAATAAAATCTTTAAAAAAAAAAAAACAGAAGAAGCTTAAAGCAGGTCTGAGATAGGGAGACATTTCACCTGTGAATACACACGAAACTTCAGGACCGCAGTCCCGTGTCGCGGTTAGAAAACGAACCCTAATTCCTTCCCACCGGCCAACACGGGGTCATACCTGTCCCCGCTGTCTTTCCCTGTGACTTTATCAGCGGGGAGGACCGGGCCCTGGCTCCCGTCTTCACCCGCTGCCCGTGCTGGCTTCTGCTGTCCCCTTGCGCTCTTCTACTTTCTCTGAACCGAAATCTCTTTCTTCCCTGCAGACAACAAGCCTTGCTCATGGTCTTCCACTGGCCTAGTTCCCAGCGCAGGCCACAGCTCTCCCTCCTGGGTGCCCCGTGTGGGCGCTGCGCTTCCTAAGTGTCCCGCCTGCGTCCTTTCCGCATCTCTGCGTCCTCCCCGCAGGGCTGGGCACTGGACGAGGCCTCCGGCCTGCAGGTGCCGGGGGCCAGACTGCGGGCAGGCGGCCCCTGCGTCTGAACCGAACCGGCCGGGCGTGCGGAGCGCTGCGTGTCCGCGCCAGGCCGGGCTCCCGCGGGGTCAGGGCGCAGGTCTGCTCCTCGGGTCTTCTTCCCACGGGTCCTGGCGCTGTCCCCGGGTCCCAGGCACTCTGTCCTGTGTCTGCTCCCTCTGTCCGTCCGTTTGCGTCCTGCTCGGATGGTTTCGTGGACCCGTGGGCGCTCACGGACTGCTCCTCTGCTGGCCGGTTTTGCCGTCAGGCCCTTCTCCAGAAGGGCTCGCGGTCGGGGTGGCGGGGCCCGCTTTGGGTGTTGACATTTTGTTCTTTTCTGTAACTTCCGAGTCTCCCACGCGTGTGCCGCTTTCCCACCAGACCCTCCCCAGCTCTACCGGCACCCTTTCATGGTCTGGGACCTGCACCATTGGGGCCATCTCTGCCTCTGCTCCTGGGGTTCTTGCACTTTCATGGTCCTGCGCTGTCTCACTGTCCGCTAAGTACCCACCAGCCGTGGGGCTGGGGCTCGGTCCCACTGCTGCTCCCAGAGGCCTCCCGTGTCTGGGGGAGCACTGGCCGGGCTCTGGACATCAGCCCGCCTTGCAGAGCTTGGCCGCCGGGTTTGTAGACCACTGGAGGCTCCCCTTACCCCCATTCTAGGTCCCTGCACCATGCCTCGGCCTGGAGTGCCCAGGGCAAGGGCCTTGCTGCCCTGTGGAGCCTCTAGAGCGGGCAGCAGGAACCCTGAGCGGGGGCGGGGGGGCTCTCACTTCTCCAGCCCACTTCTGAGAGAGGCTGGCTCTACTTGGGGATTTTCTGTCAGCCTTCCCTCCTTACAGCCCATTCTGAGCGCTCAGGGAGGACCCAGAGCTGGACAAGGGGTCCCTGGGGCCCTGCCCCTCCCGCTCTGCCCCGGGGGCACTGAGTTCAACTAATGTAGTTTCCTTGGCATCCTCAGCTCCGAGATGGCTTTGAACCCCGACTTTGTAGTGGATGGGCCGCATTCTGGCGGGCACAGTCGGAGGGGGCCAGCCAGCGTTCACTCTCCCCGTTTGGAAGGCCCCTCCTTGAGCACCTGGCCAGACACCGGACACAGCATCTGAGCCAGATTTGATGTCTGCTTGGACACGGACTGAGGGACAGGGACAGCCCTGGCCTCTGGCTTGGGGAACAGAGCTGGGGCGCTGGGCTGGCCAGAGGTCAGGAGAGGGGTCAGCCGCGGGGGAGTTCCATGTGTGTCCCAGAGGGAATCTGGGGGAGGAGGCAGAGCACAGAACAGCCTGTTTTGAGTTCTAGTCTGACTTTAACCCCAGGCTGGGAAATGATGGCACGTCCCAGCGGGTCTCTGCTGGTGGGGTCCCTGGAGACCCAGGGCAGAGGCTCCTTCTGGAGGAAGCAGGTGGTGGAACAGCAGTTTCCAGATTTTCTCCCTCTCTAGCTGAAAATGAAAAATGAGGGCAGATTTCCCAAACCTGCAGCACGAAAGAAACATGATCACCCCTTCCCATAAGCCTCAAAGACCACTGCAGCCTGGAGAGGCAGAGGCACCCTTCTCCCCGTGACGGGCGACATCTGCTGGTCACTGTGTCCCCACCGCGGTCACTGTCTGGGTCTGACTCCAGGATGGATGGAGCTGGCCTGAGGCAGGACAGGTGCTCCAGCAGAGGGACGGGGCGGGGCGGGGCAGCATCGGGCATGGGGAGCCTGCAACCGCCACGCTTCTGACAACGGTCCCCACAAAGCAGATGAGCCGGCGAGATCGCGGCCTTATCCAGGCCGTTTTATTAAATAAAATTTTACAAAAGTCAGTGTCTTCGCCAGAACCAGAAAAAGCCTGCTGGGAGTCAGAGGGGAGGGCCGGACACAGAGAGAGGCCCCCGGATGCATGCTGGTGCAGGGAAGGGCTCCCAGGGCCTTGGCGTCCCTCTGCCCTAGGTGTGACAGTAACGTGCTCGAACCCCGAGCGTGTGGACGCCTGCCTCCTGCGGACAGTCCCAGCTGACAGCCAGGCCAGCCCGGTGTGCCCCCGGTGGCCACAGGCAGCCAGGCCTGGGTCCCTCCCCGGGCGGCCGCAGGGGCCAGCAGCACCTGCACCGGGTGCGGGGCCACCAGAGCCACCTTGGTTCACGTCAGGCTGGGGCGGAGCTCCTGGGGACCCGGGGCACCCCCTTCCTACTGAGACCGGCTCTGCCGAAGGACCAGCTCTTCTAAAGGGGTCAGACCCCAAGGTGCACCAGCGGGCATGCATGGCTTCCCGCGTGGCGTCCCCAGAAACACGCCCACAGAATGGTTCTGGTTTCCAGCACCAAACCAAGCCGGTAAGAAAACGTACACTTCCTCATAAAAATACAAAGTTCTCCTGTTTTAGCAAACGTCACTATTAAACAAGGTCATTTTTAGGTTACGTGGATTGAACATCTTCTTTTTCCACGGAATTGTGACGTACTGCCCGTTTCTGGGTAAGGGGGTCTTCAGAAAGACACTGCAGGCAGCTCTGCTGCCCCCCTGTCTGCCGCCAGACGTCCCGGGGAGCTGACGGGAAAGGAAGGGCATGGCATGGTCAGCGCCACCACCAGTCCCTGAGGCTGGCTTGCTGCCCCTGCCGCTCGGGCCCGTGCGGCCTCCTCCCCTCCCACCGCCATGCGGTCAACACAGAGATGCATGGGACAGAGCAGACAGCTCTGTGGCCTCCCCCAGGGCTAAGCGGGCACCACGCTGGGAGGACGGCTGTGCCGTGTGCCCAGGGCCATGCAGGCCTCCCCATCCCTAAGTGACCCTATGACCCTGGCCTGAGGGCCTAGGTGGGGTCCCAGAACCCGTCCGGCTCGCGTCTGCAGTGTCCACGGACTTCCAGCTACCAGCTGCTGCGCACATTTCATTGTCTTGCTGATCTAAGATGGTCCCTGCCTGCACTTCTAGAAGTTCCCACCTCCTGCTCTGTGGGGTTTTCCATAGAGCAGAGGGACCAGCGTGCCTGGAGATGGCCCTGGCCCTGGCCGGATGACAGGCAGCCCACACTGCCCACACCAACCATCAGAGCACACCCTGGTGGTGGACGCCCCCCGGTGCCACTACGTTCCTGGGGCAGGGGTACAGGCAGAGCGAACCCCACCTGTGCTCCAGGTCCTGGGGAGAACAGGCCCCTCCAGACTGGGCACTGCTCCCCACAATACCTGGCCACGAGGGACAGGTGCCCCCACTCCTAGGAAACACTGTACCCTGTCCTCAGAAGAGGACACCTGCCCCTCACGTGCGCTTCTCTGCCGCTCACCCCGCCTGCCTGCTTCCCTGCAGCCCCTCCTGCAGGACCCACTGGTCGCCCATGACAGCTGCTCACATCCCAGCACCTGGTGGTGCGCTGCCTGCCCCGGACGGCAGCAGCGCTCCTTTCTCCAGAGTCTGTGGGACTCAGGGAACAGGTGTCAGCACACAGATCCGTGTGGCCAGCACAGCCGAGGCGTCTCCCAGGGGTGGGTGGGTATGACTCACCTTGGTCTGGATCCGGGCTCCGCAGGGCCGCAGAGAGAAGGCAGGCACGCCCAGGTCTTCAGACTGTTTGAGGTCAGAACATTCCAAAATGTGACCCAGGTCTCCAGAAGGGTTCTAGTGAGACAAGCCACTGTCACCCGCCAGGAAGGAAGATAAAGGACCGCTTTCTCTGCATTTGCCTTGTGAACCCAGACCCCTCCGGCACATCCTACTGTTAAACGGCAATGTGCTCATGACTCGGTGTCCACACGGTCGGGCAGCCGGCTGGTCCCCGCCCTCCGGTCACCCAGCTCACGGCCATCCCTGCCCTCCAGACCCGCAGGGCCCTCCACCTCCTCAAGTCTGCCCCCACCTCAGGGTGAGCCGTGCTCCCCAGCCTGGCTGTGCCGAGCTGGCCCACCTCCCGCCTCCTGTCCAAGCTGCCTGTCCCCTTCCCCATCCTCCTGGCTGTTTTTCTGGCACAAACACAAAGGCAGGGCGGCCTCGTCAGGCCCCTCTGGCTCCTTCCACCCCTCACGTCCCTCCCGGCTGGCCCCGGGTGACCCCTCGGCCCAGGCACAGCCATCCCAAGACCCCACCATCATGAAGGCCTGCCAGCCCCTTTTAGGTTTTCCATGTTTGAAACTTTCCATGATAGCAACAAACAGAAAAGGGTCTTTGTCGACCTGACGGCTGAAGCCTGCTCTGCGTAGTCTGCATTTTCTCTTGTAACCCCTGGCTGGCCTCTCACCGACGCCTCCCTGTGCCCGCTTTGCTGCTTCCCACCTCAAGCACAGGGGACCACCTGGTGGCTGACCTCACACCCCCGCCGCACCTGCTGCTCCTCGCAGGGCCCACTCCTCCTCCCCCCCTGCACTCCACGGGGAGCCCTGCCTGCCCCGCAAGCTGCCTCGGCCCCGTCTCACCAGCAGAGGGCGGCGCTGCACTCGGACGTCTGCCGGCCTGCCCCGACCAGACCCTGCCTGCGCTGCCTCACCCCCCCCCAGCCCCCGGCAATGCGGTCCAGGTAGGCGGCTCCCGTGGCCCCGGGGTGTGGGCAAAGTCTCCGCGGAGCCCCCAGGGGCGTCTGGCTCACCTTCTGAGCAGCATCTATTCCGAGAACAAGGAACAGGTTCTCCTGGCAGCGAGACCCGCTCCAGAGGCTGCGAGAGGCCGACGCGCCGTCTGTGCTCTGCAGGGCTCTCCAGAGTCTGCGGGACTCGGAGCTGAACAGAGACCCACTCGTGAACGGCCGAGCGGGAAGCCTTCCAGACGGACACCGAGACCTGCCCCAGGGGCTGTGAGGACAGAGTTCTCCCTTCCAGGTCGGCTTACGTGTTGCTGCCCCATGAGTACCCTGGCACTCCCACCCTCCTCCCCGGGCACCGCCCGGCTCATCGGAGCGGCCGAGCGGCTCCTCCAGGGGGCAGACCCTCCCTGAGGCCCGGTACTTTGCGGTTTTGTTCCTGATGGTCTCGGGGACCACGAGCTGCACCGGGGGCCCCAGGGACACTCGGAAACTAGGAGCAGGGCAATGCTTAGGGGATGACCACTGGGTGTCTGTCATGCACCGTCCACAGCTACAAGCCACCCCCCACCAGCCACGTGCCACCAGAGCAGCTAGTGAGGCTCCTACGAGGGAAGGGAGGGTGTGCGCAGGAGGGGCCACGCTAAGTGCCCAGAGCATTTGCAAGTCGTCTTCATGTTTTCACACCCTGAAGTCACAGCCACCTCCCGTCACACCACAGTGTCCAGCCCTGCTGGACCTGACGGCCAGGACCACCTGTGTCTCCGAGTGTCTGAGGCTCCTGCTGCCACCAGAGGCCCTTCCACCTGCCTGCTGGTCCGGGCCACACCTTGGGGAAGCGCCATATCCAGAGAGCCCTCTGGGCCACGGTGGTGACAGCCTTCCGGGGTTCAGGCCTCTGTCCCCCAGGCCCCTGCTGGGGGGGGTTCCCTGGCTTGGACCCCAGCAGTAGCCCTGCCTGGACCCAAGGCCAGAGCCCAGAAGGGCAGTCTGCAGAACTCCCTGACAAAGAGAACACGGGTCAGGAAGGCCAGCTCACCCCCTCCTCCTGTGGCCTGGGCCCCGCTGACCTCAAGCTGACCGCACCGGCCCCCCCCAACTGAGCCGCGCCTGTTCTGCCAGCGCCCAGTGAAGGCGCGTCGGAGAACGCGGCCCTCTGCGTGCCTGCGTCTGTGCTTTCCCAGACAACGAGCCCCGGGGACCACCGGCCTTGCTGGCAGCAGCAGATGCGCTCAGGCTGGCTGGCCCTGTGGGTTCAGACTGTCCCTCGGGGGCACTGGTATGTTTCTCTGTGGCTGAGGATCAGGGAGTCCAGTCCCCCCGGACCAGCACTCGCACGGAGACACCAGGAGCTGGCGCCCCTGGTCTCCCTTGCTCCAGGTGAACACGCTCTGAGGGCGACCGTGGCCAGAGCATCGACCCATGCCGCCCGGTCCTTCCGTGAGGACCCCACGACACCAAGGTTGTGGGGTCTTAGGGACAGACAGGCTCTCTCTAAAAGGCCACTTGGCCAACCGAAGTACAAACTCAGACTTGCTCTAAGAACCCAAGTTCATTACCACAGCTGCCGTCCAGATTCCCAGCCGGGCGCTTCTAAGATGTGGTTCAAGGGGGAGATGCCCTCAGTTGCCTGGGGGACTGGTGTGTCCTGAAAAACAAACGGGAACACATCCTCGGAGCTGTGTGGAGGCTGGAGGAAGAGAGAAATGCACGTCAGGTCACCTCGCTGCCGGCAAGGGGCAGAGGACACGTGCAGACGATCGCGCCCTCACAGCTGCTGTAGCGTGGCTCACTCGCTCCCCGAAATCTCTGCTCTGCACGCTCCGATGGGAAGCCCAGAGCGTGGCAGGTAGGCTTCGGGCACGGCACTCATAAGCTTTGTCGGGGACACACGAGAGAGCGGCACCTGATAAAAACATTAGCGTTTCCCGTGTGTCAGCCGGCTGGGAAGGCTATCCACACGGCAGCCAAGGAGGCCTTTCCTGGGCGGACACCTGAGGTCGGAAGGTCGGGAGTTAGTGTGAAGTGCCGGAGTGAGGGCTGTCCGAAGCCTGGCAGGACGTGACAGAAGCGCAAACCAGGAGGGAGGGCGCGAGCCCCGAGAGCTGCTGGAGGCATGCGTGTGTGCGGCATATATGCACGTCAGTGTGGGGCTATTTTCTGTCGTCACCTAGTGTCTCTTGCACGTTCACATCATGGTCAGATTGTTCCCAGATCTGTTACTCCCACAGTCCTGTTTTCACAACAAGCGCACTCGCAGCGCGGACGGTGTGGAGAGCGCCTCCCGCCAGGGGTCCAGGGCACACAGACGGGTTCAGGAAGCAAACGTTCATCCCCAGAACCAGTGAACCCTTTCCTCTCATCCCTTCCTCTGACTCCTTCTGTTCTCATGGTGTTTGGGGGCTTGGGGGTGAGCCCTTGGGAAGAGACGGCAGAGAAACAGGAGCAAGGGGAGGAAGAGGAAGGAGAGAGGCATCAGATGCGTCACTGCGTGTCTGTGCAAGAGGCGGTCGGGCCAAGAAGGGCGGTGCGGAGACGATGGGGACGGGGCCGGACTCTCCTGGCCAACTCCAGTGCCCGGTTGTCACACACAGGCTGGAAGGGACTCTACAGGGTGAGGCTTTCTGAGTAAGGAGGGTGACAATTTGGACCAAAAGCTCCTTCCCAGTGTGCCCTGAAGGGAGCAGAGAAAGTGGGCTGGCGCAGGGAGCGCCGGGCACACCAGCACCCGCTCCTGAGTGGCCCCCCGGAGTGGTCCAGCCTCCCTCCCTGGCTCACGAGGGCAGGACAGCCAGCCGCACAGGCCGGACCGGGGCCAGGACAGAAGCAGACCCCCTCCCGGGCCAGCCCACCGAAGCGGAGGTCCGCTGCAGAAATACCTCACGAGGTGCGCTGCCCGCGGCTCCTGACACCCCAGCACCGCGCTCCTTTTGGGTAGAAGCCACTGTCTGCCGCTGAGGACGCGGGGGTCTCTCCGGGCGCTCAAAGTTTGGGGAGAACTGCTCAGACTGGACCGAAGCGTCCCGAAAGCCTTCAAACTCCCCCCAGGCGCTGCCGGGCTCCGCTGGGTCCGGGCCTCCAGCCGGGCAGGGAGAAGGGCCCTCGCGCGCCCAGGAGAGGCGCTCCCCGGAGAGCCGCTGCGCGCCTGCCCCTGCCCGCCCCCCGGGCGCCCTGCTCGCGCCGCGCTCTTCAGAAGCGGGGCGCAGGGAGACGTCGCCTGCTCCCGCGGCGGGGTCGCTCGGGCTCCCGCGGGGAGGGGGCGCCTGGCCGGGCGCGGCGCCCCGCTGCCGCTGGCCCTGCATGTCGGAGCCGCCCGGGGCTGCACGGGGCGCGGGCGCGGGGCTGAGAGCAGCCCGGGGCGGGGGTCCCCGCGAGGGCCCGGCCTGCGCCCCGGGCCGGCACCCACCGCGGCTCGCTGGAGCAGCGCGCGCCGCAGTCCCCACGCCCGCCCGTTGCCCGGCAACGGAGCGCGCCGGCCCCCGCGTCCTGAGTCCGGCGCCATGACGTCAGCGCGCCGGCCCGCCCCGCCGTGCGCCTGCGTGCCCCTCCGCCGCACCCCCACCCTCGGCCCTCGCCCTCCGGCTCCTGCGAGGCTGGTCCCGGTTTTCTGGGAGCCCCGACAGTCCTCCCCGCTGCCACCCGCTGCCCCCGTCCCCCGGGGCAAGGCCACTGCCCGGCCCGCCCCCAGCTCGCTCCCGGCCCCCGCGGACCCTTCCCCGTGCGCCCCTAGCCGGCCCGCCGATCCCCCGGGAGGCGTGCGCCGGACTCCAGCGCCGCAGAAGTGCCGGCAACCCCGGTCCGCACCCCGGTCCCGGCCCCTCCGTGCTCCCACCCCTCCACCCTGTGACCTCCTCGGGCCCCGTCCTGTGGGCACGAATCACCCGCTCTCCTTGGTCCCCGCCAGCCCAGCTACCGAAAATCTTAATTTTGAGAATTACCAGATGAGATCATCCCTGACCCCTGACTCCTGTCCCTCCTGTGCTTCCTGAGGGTACATCGGCCGGCACCACAGTGCGCAAGCAATGCAGTCTGACTGCCCAGCTCTGGGCGGACACCTGGGTGACCCTGCGGGGAGGACGCCGCCTCTCCCGCCTGGATGTCCTCCCAGGGACAGTGTCAGCGCTCGGACCCCCTCCTCCGTTGTGCCTGCTGTCCTCCTAGTCCAGGGAGCAGGAAACGGGTAGAAGCGTTGTCCTCGTGTACAGGTGGGGAAACTGAGGCCCAGGCCCAAAAGGCCCCAGTGAGAAGTGTTGCTGGGGCTGGAGCCAGCTCTGGGAGCTCCGCAGTTCCCCACAGCCAGTCTGGGCCTCAGCAGACAATGGCGCTGTGACCTTCAGGGTGCAGGTGGGCTGACCTGTCCTACTAGCTGTGGTGGCTGAGTAATGCCGCCCAGAAACGGCCACATCCTGTCCCCAGAACCTGTGAATATGGGACCCTATGTGGTCCTACGAGGCATTTTACAGACATGATTAAGGCTTTTGGGGTGGGGACGAAGTCCTGGGTTATGCGGTTGAGCCTGATGCCCTGAGGAGGAGGAAGCAGGGGGTCAGGGTCTGGGGAGCCGGAGAGACTGAACCAGAGGCCCGTGATGCGGGGCTCCCAACAAAGGGATGCAGGACCCCCCAAGAACTTGAAAAGGGCAAGGACGTACACCTGGCCAGAAGCCCCGGAAGGAATAGAGCCCCCGACGCCAGGAACCACAAGGGAATGGGCGCGCTGGGGCCAGCCGCTGTGCGGTTATGTTACCGCGCTCACGGGGAGCACACAGACTTGGGTGACCTCCGGCTACTGAAAACGTGCTGCCTCGGGGGGCCAAGACCCCGAGGAGGTGGCAGAGGTGATCTGACGTAGGGTGTTCAGCCCTGGCTGCAGTGTGGGGGGTGTGAGCTAGGGACCGGACGGGCGGCCCCTGGGTCCTCCTGCCAGCCACTGGGCAAACTGGGCACAAGACACAGGGCACCAGCCGAGGGTCAGGCCTCCGGGTGGGGGGTGCAGGGGAGGTACCTGTTCAGGTTGAAAAGGCCTCACCTGCTGAGGGAGACTGGTCAGAGGGGAGCATGGTGCCCTTCAGGTGGGGATTCAGGGGACACAAGCACGAGTGTCCGAGGGGCCGTGGAGGGGGTGGGCACAGTGTAGTCAGGAGGAAGAGCCCATGTGGCCCCTCCAGGCTCCTCTCGGGACACCTCAGTCCATCCCTGACCTCAGCCCTACCGAACAGGGGTGGGAGGCGGCTTCTCTGCCACCAAGTTAAGCCTCCCCCATCCCAGCCCCCAGAAGCACCCCGCTCGTCTGGGGTTCTCAAGACTCAGACCACTGGGATGAGTCCGGGAGCCCACCTTCCCCAGGTTGGAGCAGGCCCTCAGCATGGGGGAAACAGAAGCAGTTAGAGGCTGGGGGGTCAGCAGACCCGTAGCCCACGACCTCCTCACCGTGTAGGGCTAAAGGGAAGGGCAGGGGGCCGCTGATGGGGTCCTACAGGGCCCCCTGCTCCGCTGTGATTCTTGGCCGGGCCGGGCTGGGGCAAGGACAATGCAGAGCTATTTTTGCTCCTGGTGCAGTGGCTGCCGCACAGAGACATCAATTATTGATGCTCTGGGTGTTCCTGCTGTCTGGAGAGGCCCGGGGAGCGGCCTGCCGGGCGGGGGGAGCCCTGCTGAGGAGCCACAGCCTGTGGAGGGGGCGGGCACGGCTCCTCATCCTGGCGCCACCTGTGTTGCGCATCCTGGGCCCCAGTTCCCAGACACATGGCCTTGGGAGGCTGCTGGCGAGCCTGAGACCCCTGCCCGTCAGTGAGGGCCAGGCTGACGTGTGGCCTAGCATGGTGGTCCCAGAGAGGAGGTCGAGCCTTTGTGTGCCGATGGGACAGGGTGTGGGGCCCTGCAGAACTGCCACGGACCGCCCAGTGCTCCGAGGGTGCGAGCCTCGTAGGGGCCAGGGCGGCCGTGAGTCGGGCTTGTGGGGTAACAGTGACTCCTGGGCTATGTCCAGTGGCTGTCACCTTTCCCGGCAGGGCGTCTGTCCCTGGAAGGGCCATTGGGGCAGGGCTGTAGCGGGGTGTAACGACGGCAGCTCCTGGCAGCTCAGGGCCCTGCGGCAGGCTCACAGCCAGGATTCGGCTGGGGTTGGGGGTGGTGCGGTGTGGTGAGGATGGGTGGGGAGTGCGGGGGTAGGGACTGGTGGTGGTTGGGGGGTAGGGACGGGCGGGGAGTGGCAGGGGGGACAAGGATGGACTTTACAGCTTTTCTGCTGGGGCTGACCCTGTAACCCTGGGGCTATCCTGGGGCTTTGAGACCCCTGCAGGAAGGGGGAGGGATTGAGCACAAGGAGGCAGGGCCTAGTCGGGCTGGCCCTGGGGGGGGGGGGGGTTGAGGGCCAACGTAGGGGCCATTGCTCCGCCCCATACACAACAGCATACACAGCTGAGGCACCAGGCCCTCTGAGAGATGAAATGGGGCCCCCAGGGACCCCTGAGGCTGCAGGGGTGAGCATAACAGGTGAGGCCAGCCTTTTGCCTGAGAGCAGGCAGGAGAGCAGACAGGACAGTCTCTGGGACAGGAGTGTCCTGATCTGGGCCATGAGCCAATGCCGAGCCAACTGCCTTGCTGCAGAGGGAGCAAGGCCCCAGCAGGGCAGTGTAAGCCCACCAGCCTTCAGCAAGGCCAAGTGCAGGAGTGGCCCCAGAGAGGGTCCCTGGCCAACCAGGGGTCCCAGGGACCACCCAGCCGCACAGGGGCTGGCTGAGGGCTGTTCCTGCAGTAACTGTGTGAGACCCCTGCTCCTGACCTCTGCTCAGGAGGGGCAGCTCCCTGGCTTTCCCCCCAGGGCCCCATCATGCCCCTCCCCACAGAGCTGGGAGGAGCCAGCCTAGCCCCAGGGGCATCATGGTGGACAAACAGAATATGTCACATGGAATGAGGCCATTTCACTTGGACAGGGAGACAGGGTCCACACAACTTGGCCAAGGTCACTCACCTAATGGCGCAGGGGGACACAGAACTGGGTCTGTGTCCTAAGGTCCCCGATTATACAAGTGGCACTTGTTCCCAGGCCCCCACTGCCAGACTCACATACACGGACGGGCAGGCCGAGATCCCAACAGATCTGGACAGATGTGGGACACACCCGGGGACACAAAGAGTGCCCCCTGCCTGCACCCGTGAGCTCCCAGATGGACAGAGCGGGGCTCAGGGTCTCCATCTCCAGGGCAATGCTGCCCAGCCCGCAGAAAAACCCCAGGGCAGGAGGGGCAGGGCTGTGCCCCGCTGTGCCACGGGCGCAGTGGGGGACAGGCTGCCGGAGGATCTTCCGAGCACCGATGTGCGTGTCTGTGCGACCTGCTGCTGGCCCGCTGCCCAGCTAACGGGAACTGGCACACATGAGTCATCCTGCCGGGGGGGCTCACCTGGGCCCGGCTGGCCGTGCACGTCCCCGAGGAAGCCTGGGAGCAGAGGGTGCCCGTGTGTGCGCCTGGGCGTGTCTGTGTCCTCTTGTGCATCTCTGGGCACACGGACACACCTGCATAGTACGTGTGGGCGTGTGTGTGCACAGAGACATCCCAGTCGATCTGTGTCTGTGTGCGGCATGAGTGTGTGCGTCGTCTTGTGTCCGTGTGAATGTATGTGTGCGTCCGATGCGCTTCCCTGTGTCTAGTCCGTGTGTCTCCGTGGCCCCCTGTTGCAGCCCATCTCTTTCTGCCCCAGGAACAGGTGCATGTGGTGTGTGTGTCCCTCTGTCTGTCCCAGCAGCACTGGCACCAGTCCTAGAAAGCCCCCAGGAATGGTTCCCCCCAGTAGCCGGGCTTTTCTGGGTCTGTTCTCGCCCAGCCCCAGCAGGATTCACAGCTCCAAGGTCCCCTTCCTCAAATCTGCATCAGGCTGGGCTTCAGCTAACTCCCTGCTTCTGTGGAAACAGAGTTCTCCTGAGCCTTGCCACTCCTTGCCCATTCCCTAAGGAGGCCATCTTCTGCATGCTCCCCAAGCCGGAGCCCAGGGGCCCCCCACCATCCCACTACAGTCCTTACCAAGGCCCTCTGGCAGCTTCTGGAACATCCTGGTCCTTGGCTCCCTCCTCAGACTGCTGCCCTGGCCCAGCCCCCCCCCCCCCCTTGCAGGCTCCTGACTTCCCGCAGCTCTCCCCCCGCCCCGCGCCCGGACCCCCCCCCCCCCCCCCCCGACCCCCCGGCTGGTCGCTCCTCGGTTCCCACTGCCGCTGCTCACTGCCCCTAATCCTCAGCCTGCGCTGTCTTACCCTGTGCTGGGCACACATGCCACTCTGGCCTCCGCACCCAGCACTCCTCCCGCACCCCTGAAGTCCCAGCTCACCCTGTCCCTGGGGAGCCTGCCAGGACCCCCGCCCCACGCATCCCCACCGCGGCGCCGCGCCGGCCGGCAGAGCGCGCCTCTAGCCTGGGAGCCCCTGGGGTAGGGCAGGGCCGGCGGGGTCGGATCACATGCCCCACGCCCCCACGGGCTCCCGCTGCCGTGTGGCCCCCAGAGGGCCTCG